AAGACGGTGGTTCTGGCCGAAAGGAAGCTTGCTGCTATTCTTTTGGAAAAACTATTATCTGTTAGATCACTTAAAATAAAAAAAAGTAAAAACTTTTTAAAAATTAAATTTATTGGGGTGACATTGTTCAACATGATCATATAGGTTTCAGGTGTGGGTTTCTATGTTACAAGATCTGTATATTGCACTGTATTCCCATCACCCAAAGTCAACTCGTCTCCTGTCACCATATATTAGGACTTCCTTCTGCCCCCACCCCCTTCCCTCTGGCAACCACCACTCTGCTTTTAGTGTCCATGAGTTTCAGTTTTATATTCCACATATGAGTGAAATCATATGGTTCTTAGCTTTTTCTGTCTGACTTATTTCACTTAGCATAATATTCTCAAGGTCCATCCATGTTGTTGCAAATGGCAGTATTTCACCCTTCCGTATGGCTAAGTAGTATTCCATTGTGTATATGTTCCACTTCTTCTTTAGCCAGTCCTCTATCGCAGGATACTCTCATTGTTTCCATATCTTGCCCACTGTGAATAATGCTGCAGTGAACACAGGGGTGTATATATATCTTTGTGAATACATGATTTCAAGTTTTTCAGGTATATGCCTAGAAGAGAGATTGCTGGGTTCTATGGTAGCTCTATTCTTAATTTAGAAAAATAAAAACCTTTTGTTTTACCTGTACTTATTCCTTCTTCAGTGCTCTTCCTTTCTTTATTCAGATTGAAGTTTCTAATCATGAAAAGATGTTGGGTTTTGTCAATTTTTTTTCTCTCTGTATAGTGAGATGAAAAAGTGTTTTCTGTTCTTTATTCTATTAATATGGTATATTACATTGATTGTGTTTTATAGTATATGTTGAACCAACCTTGTATTCCCGGGATAAATCCCACTTGATCATGGTTTATAATCCTTTTTCTATGTTTCTAGATTCAGGTTGGTAGTATTTTGTTTGGAATTTTTGCATCTATATTCACAAGGGATATTGGTTTGTAGTTTTGTTGTAATATCTTTGTCTGATTTCTTTATTGTTTTTCTATTCTCTATTTCATTTATTTTCAGTCTAGTCTTTATTATTTCTTCATTGGTTATTTAGAAGTGTTATTCGATTCTCATATATTTGTGATTATCCTAATTTTTTATGCTGGTATTGATTTCTACTTTTATTCCATCATGGTTGGAAAAATGGTTTGTATGATTTCAATGGTTTTAAATTTATTGAGGCTTGTTTTATGGCCTAACATATTGTGTGCCTGGAGAATGTTCTGTGTACCCTTGAGAATGTATATTCAACTGTTGTTTTGTGGAGTATTTCATAGATGCCTGTTAGGTCTGTTTGCTTTATAGTGTTGTTTAAGTCTTCTATTTCCTTCCTCTTCTTCTTAGTTCTATTCATTATTGAAAGTAGAATTTTCAGGTCTTCAACTATTAATGGAAAATTATCTATTTGTAAGAATTGTCTTTTTCTTTCTTCAATTATTTCATTTTTTGCTTTATGTACTTGTCTCTTTTCTTATGTGTATATATGTTTATAATAGTTGTATCTTCTGGATGAACTGACTCTTTTATCATTATAAAATGTCCTTACTTGTCTTTAGTAACAATTTTTGTCTTAAAGTCTATTTTGTTTGATATTAGTGTAGCCATTCCAGCTTTCTTTTGGTTACTGTTTTCATGGTGCATATTTTTCATGCTTTTACTTTCAACCTACTTGTATCTTTAAATCTAATATATGTCTCTTGTATACAATATGTAGTTGGATAATTTATTTTTATCCATTCTGTGAATTGGATTTTAATTGAAGTCTTCAGTTCATATAAGTTTAATGTAAATATTGATAAGATTGGAGATACTTCTTCCATTTTCTCTTTATATTTGTTTCTTTTTTGTTTGTTTGTTTTGGTTCCTTTGTTTTTCAATTACTGCATTCTTTTGTGTTAAATACATATTTAAAAACATTTTTCTATGGTAACATTTTAGTTCTCCCTCCCCTTTTTAAGTGGTTGCTCTGAGGATTACTGTTAACATCTTTATTTGTAATAATCTAATTTAGATTAATACCAACCTAACTTCAATAGTAAACAAAAACTTTGCTTCTATTAAGTGCTTTTCTATCCCCCCTTTATCCTGCTGTCACATTTTACCTCTTCACAAACTGTATGCCCACCAACACAGATTTATAATTATTGCTTTTTGCTATTGTCTTTCAAATCTGGTAGGAGAAAAAGAGTTACAAACAAAAATACATTTATGCTGGTTTTAATATTTGTGTTTCTAGTTACTTTTATTTATGCTCTTCATTTCTTTATGTGGGTTAGAGTTATTGTCTAATTTTCTGTTATTTTAGCCTGAAAGAGAAGTTCCTTTAGTATTTCTTGTAGGGCAGCTCTGCTAGCAATAAACTCTGTTTTTGTTTATCTGGATCTTAACGTCTCCTTGATTTTTGAGGGAGAATGTTGCTGACATAGAATTCTTAGATTTTTCTCTTTCTTTTAGTACTTTGCAAATGTTGTCCCACTTCCTTCTGGCCTCTGTCGTTTCCAGTGAGCAGTCAGCTGTTAACCTTGTATGTGAGGAGTCACTTCTCTCTTGCTGCTTTCAAGAGTCTCTCTTTTTCTGTAGTTTTCAATAGTTTTATTATATGTTGCAAACACTGTCATCCTGCCCACCTCTATTTGAAAGGATAGCGCAGGACTTTTGTTGCTTTAATTCATCCCTTATATCTCTGTAGCATTTCTCTGATCTATCAAATTTATGATATAGTAATATGTGGGTTTGTTTATCATATTTGATAGATTTAGAAAATTTTAGAGTAATATTTGTGTGATCCATGGCCATAATTCATTTATCTAAGAGATTTGTTGAGCACCTACATATCAAAAGTCTATGCCAGACTTTCAGTTTCCTTAAATAAGTGACAGATGGTCCTGCCTGTGAGGTGACACATTTACTTGGTAGAGGACACATACTCAGCTAACTACAATACAATTAGAATGAAGGTATGCTGAGTATAAACAGAGTATTTTTGGAGCATAGAGGAGAAAGTCACTCATTTTTATATTGGACAGATAAACAAACTGAGGATTATATAGATGAAGGAATTTGAGACTTTGAGGTTACATACATTAGAAAGACAGGGCCAAGGACGATAACCTGTTATTATGGTTCTTTTAATGAAACCATGGTGAGCAGAGAGTGTTGTTATGCTGTATTTTAAAGCATCAAAGGTAAAAATGATTTTTAAAAATGAAATATTAGAAAATGATTTGGCAAATGTTGATGCTGTTGGTGCCAGGATTTGCATATTGTACCACAGTTTCCTGTTTTCAAATGTATTAATTGACCCACAAAGGACAGGTAAATATGTGAAGCACAGAATGGCTATTTTGCTTCAAAAGATGTGCATGCTACAAATAAAAATAAACAGTATTTATACTTTACTAGTATGAATTTAGCAAACAAGTGACTATATTGAAAATTGAGGTTCAAATATTAAAATATACTTAATTTTACTAAATCTACCCTAAATATTTTCTTTTCATTTTAATTGATATTTATGCTTTGAAGAGAATTCCCCCCTTCACCTCATAAAATTTTGGAGATGCTGAGTTTATAAAATTAGAGTTTCCTTAATAATAGAAATTGATGATCAATCAGAACTATGCTCTTTTCCCATAGGGTAAAGCATTACTTACTTGAGCATAGAGTTTTAATTTTAATCTGGATGCCTCCTTTTCTATTCTCCCATGATTCTTTGCAGCGGGGCAAGAGAAAGCAAGTCTTATAAAAAGAAATACAGTATGTGGTGCTTATTAAAGTTACATACATCTCAGAAGAATTTTGATTTACTGCAGGTTGTGCATATGTTGCATATGGACATTTCTAGGGAACAGATTCCTTATTACTAAACAGCGAATGGCTTCTAGTACTCCATTATTGCTCCGGGAACATGTTAGTAATGATTATGAAAGGTAGGATACCATGAAATCTGTAAGGTGATTTGGCAGAAGTCGATGCTGTTGGTGCCAGGATTTCGGTACCGTACCACATTTTCCTGTTTTCAAATGTATTAATTGATCCGCAAAGGACATCTTTTGGAGACAAGCATTCAGACAGACTGGCACAGGCTGGACCTCCGCCAAGACTGCTCGGAAGGTTGCCATACTGGGAGCAAAGAGTGAGAGAGAGAAAGAGGGAGAGAGAGAGGCAGAGGGAGAGCTGAGGAAAGAAAAAAAGGCAAGACTTGGCACAGCTCAGTCAAATCAGCTTCTTTTGTCTGCTTTCTCGGCTTGAGCTTCAGGAAAGAAAATCGTCCTGGGGTACAGGAAAACTCAGAACTTTTTGGTTTTCAAACTTAGAAGGTTTTTTAAGTCTCTTGGGCTATTTGAAAGTGTTGGTACATTCAATGACGTTTGGTCACCAGTATTTAGGGAAATAAAAGCCTTTTTCAAAATGAAGCTTCCACAGTGTCCATGCATTTGGGAAATACTGTACTTGATTTTTTGCATGTATGACTATACCATGAGAGACAGGATTAATATAGAAGATGGCAAGGCAAATTTCTAATTAGAGAGAATATTAATTTTCTACAAAATAAAGTTTGTTCATCAATACAAACCTGCTTTCAAATCAAATCAGACATCCTTCGGAATGTGTTCAGAACGTAAGTTTTTAGATTTTATTTTATTTTTTCCCATTTATAGACATTCACTTTTCAAGGAGCCTTTCTAAGATTTTATGCAACCTAGCCAGGAAGTCAGAGTAAAAGTTGTTTTATCCATGTGTTTAAGAAAACGTTTTCTTAAAGCAACAGCTTTTATTTCTGCTGCTTCATGCTGTCCTAAACTACATCCCCCAGCAATGAGTGACAACACTGAAGACCAGAAAGGCAAGCTGAAGACACCCGACTTCGCTTGAAGGGCAAACAAGAAATGTGAGCTTGGTCATTATTTTTGTGTGTGTCTTTGCTCTGAACCAGTTTTTGGAGGTGGGTGGGGAGGTGGGTGGGGAGGTGTCTGTGTCTAAAAGATGTGTGCGATTAGGGAATTCTCATTGTGAGAAGGAAATGATAAAAGGTAATTTTTATGATGTTGGCAGAAATGGCTGGGAATGGTAGAGAATAGAAGTTTAAATCTTTTGGATAAGAAATAGTGAGCTGTGATTGAAATACTTGGGGAAAAAATCCATTATTTTTAGTTCATTAGATTGTATAATTAAAACGATTACTACAGCTTGGCTCTCTCAAAATGTTTTAAGTAGAAGGAAAATCTAAAAAGTTCATCGATTTTCTTTTCAATATTACCCAGTATTTTATTTGCATTTATACTTTATATCTAATTTTTAACAATAAATGTTTCCTGTTAGGCCTGGTTATGATTACATTGTGATAGTTCTGCTGTTAAAAATCAGCATTATTGTAGGATAGGTTAATTGTAAGGCACGTTTTTTTGTGGACCACCCTCTTTGTTATAAATACTCTATTTCTAAAGAAGAGAGTTTGAGTTGTAGTAGGTTATGATTTCCTGTAATATTATATTTCCTTTTTATTTTATATACTAAAAGAATACAGGAAAATCGTATACATTCACATAAGTACTAATCATTTTTGGCAATATAAAAGACTGCCCCAGGATCTATGCTTTTGTTTTGAGTATGCAATCATGGATTTGTTAATCCTTTCACAATTTTTGTTTTTGTTTTTGTTTATATTATTGAGCGCTTTGAGTAATGAAGTTCTGAAATGATTTTTATAGTATTATAATGATACACAGTAATGGCATTTAATATACAAGTATAGTAAAAATATATATGAAAAGGTGTTTGCATAGTTAAGCTTAAGTATTTACTTCAACTTTTTTGCTAATCAACGTTTTGATCTTCCATAAAATGAAATCACTAATGTTCATGTGTGTTGCCAATACGACGACCTTTGTTTTATAAGCTTCTTTATACACCATCTCACTGATACTCCTAAGATGGACGCCAAAACATAAAAGACGTGCTGATAGGCACTGGAAAAGAGGTGTTTGCCTGGCCACTGTCTTCCTTTTGAACTGATCACAGGATCATTCATGCCTGTACTAAAACCCAACAATATGTGAAACAAAAAGGAAGTTCAATAAATAAGTTAAATTACAGCTACATTTTAATACTGACCGTCTTATTACCGATTTTTATTTACTTTAATTTACTTCTTAAACAAGTTTGCTAAATATGCAACTTCTTTAGTTTGTTTAAGACCATTTGCCCTTAAAGTTGGAATTATTTGCTAGATTATTTCCTAAATTCTTTGTAGCGAATTTAGTAAGAGCAAACTTATTTTTATATCCAGACTTTTTTATGTCTAATTATTTTCTTAACAGTATAATAAAAACTAAGTGAAATTAAAAACACAGATGTCAGAACATACATTTAGAAATATTTAATTTTTATTTTTACTAGCAAAGCTACATGTATAGTGTTTATTGGACTTAAGATTTAATAATAAATATTAACTTTAATACCCAACAAAGTTTCTTACCAATATATTCTCTCTGGCCTACTTGTTACATAATTTAACATGAAAAAGGTCCCATATTAAGATGCTCCTTGTTAACTGGGTATAACAGCCACTCTCTGTACAACCTTTTTTTAAAGGTATGTTCAAGAAACTGTGTTGATTACATTTTCAAGCATACATTTAGGTTTAACATAATGCATTCTTCTTTACTTTTAGACCTTTTATTTTACAAACACATTGACATAGGTTATAAATATTTCTATATTAGTATTATCATTTCACATTTTATTTTAAAGTATATAAATACTAGTGGTATGATTTTAGATGGACTCTATCTCAGCATGTTTTTTGTGTATATTTTGAAGTAGAATTATTAAGACAGAAATGGATTAATAGTTAACTGCTACTTGATGCCTATTATTAAGTCTCATTTAGATGTATATACCTGAACATACGAAAACACGATTCTGTCAACTAATGCAAACCTCTCAGGGGGCCTTAGTCTATCATTTTATAATTATTCACTCATTTATTCATTTAAACAAATGTTTATTGAGTACCCATTTAAGTATGCTAATATTTTATTGATGAAGTTATTTTGGGTAATAGGGAAGGATGCCGCATACATGGATAGCAGATGGAATGGATTTAAAATAGATGTACAAAATCCTAGATAGAAAAGAGCACTATTATAATGAGATTTATTTCAATAGGTTAAAGTATGTTAACTTTTATTGCACAACATATGTATCATAGAATGTTATTATGAAAAATCAGGCAATTAGTTGTAGCCCTTATAGATATAAGATTTTGTTAATCATTATTTAGGTTGCTGCATTTTATTGGCCAAAAAACTCCAGTAGTTCAAGTCTTCTGACAGATGTGTAAAATAAGCAATGCAGATGGTGTGAGGAAGAAATTACACAGGGCAGACGGAACCACTGCTCACATTCTAGATTTTATATATGTCAAAGTAGGTGTCATTAAACCTTCAAAGATATGGCTGTAATGAAAAAACAATGGCCTGTTTATGAGGAATTTTTTTCCTTTCCTGGGTTTACTTTTGTGAGTAAAGGAAGAGGAGGCCAACCCCATACTTGTAAGCCAGCAGGCATGGCCCTCAGAAAGTAAGTTTGCTAGGGGTGGGGTATTTTAAGTGAACCAATCAGTTCACTTTCCGTAAACTCTAATGTTTTGTTTCTTTTCTTTTTTTTTTAGCTTTGTTCACTAACGTAAAGACTCATAGGCAAAATACAGGTCTTGACTCTAGATGTAAATGAGCATTTAACTTGTTTATTCCATTAACTTGTACTTTAATATAAAAAGAAAATATAGGTCCAGATCCTGAAGAGGAGATAAAAATCACATGAGCCAGGGAGATGAGCTTGGAAGCTGTTGTAGTGGCCAAGGCCCGTGTCAGGGCTGGTGATCAATGGTAATGAAGACGGGAAGTGTTTCAGCTGTAGGTATGGATTGCTGAAGTAATTAAACAAATATCCCAGAAGGCCTGCTTTGTGCCAGGCACTATGCCAGATGTAGGGGATATTAGGATATAATTTCTGCTCATCAGGAATTCATTGTATAACTGGGGGTTGCAGAAAGAAGGATAAGAATAACTGATAAATTACAGTTTACCTGATACCTCATTTAATCCTAGCAACAATGCCTGGCACAGGAACTGGTACATAATGGCCACCCCATAAAGCTTCTTTGAAGGAATAAACCAAGTTGTGAACCAGCTATTAACATCTTGGATCTTATTTAATTAAAAGAATTTTCCCCCTCATGATTGAGAGACAAAAAGCATTGTGCTTGCTTTTATCTTGAGTTTGTGTTGCTGGTTATGGGTTTAGATGGAATGCAGAGTAGGGCCACATCTTTGTGACCAAATTAGAATCCCTCCAGGTAGCCACCGGAGACAAGATAAAATAGAGACTTGAACACCCATTCCCTCCCAGCTGGCTCTCCATTGTCTTGCATTCTCCCTCTCCCAGTTTCCCCAAAGGATTCCAGAACTGTGTCTTAGGCCTTGTGGTGTGGTCTAAAGCATGGAGCAGACCAACTGATTGTCCAGCAAGTTTAAAGTCTTTTTTATCAGCATAGGAAGAAGCTGAGGGGATTGAGAGAAGAGTAAAATAGGGAGAGGGAGAGAGGAAGTGAGGGAAAATTGTGGAGAGCTGAGGGTACTGTCCCATAGCCGGCTTCAGTCCTAGTAATAACTTCACTGAGAGTGAAGATAAATGTGGGATGTCATGGTTAGACTGGAATATCAGAAGCAGCCAGCATTCAGAGTGTGATAAGATATTATGTGGGATTGCTGAGGCCAGTTTGTGTTGATCAGCATCTTTCTAGCCTTTTTCCAGAGGTGTTCTGAGAACCATTAGAGCAGTGGTTCTCAACCTTCTTTTTTTTTTTTTTTTTTAAATATATTTTTTTTATTGATTAAGATTGATCTTTAGAGAACAGGGGAGAGAGAAACATCAATGTGAGAGAGACACATCAATTGGTTGCCTCCTGCATGAATCCCAACTGGGGCCGGGGATCGAACCTGCAACCCATGTGCGTGCTCTTGACTGGGAATCGAATCTGTGATCCTGGGGCGCGAGGGTGGATGCTCTAACCACTGAATCACGCTGGCCAGGGGCGGTTTCCTTTCTGATAGAAATGTTTGCCCATCTGTATCCTCTGTCCATTTCCTAGCTAAACAGGTGGCCTGCTTTTCAGTTCCAGCCCAAACCTAAGGAAACCGAAGCCGTTAGGACGTGGCTCAGACACACTTCACATCGGGTACGTTCCCGATCCTTTTACCCAGCACTGAGCTCCCTTGCTGCCCGGCCCCATCCCGACAAGATAAAATAATGGCAGCGCGGGGTGGTGATCGGAAACCCCAGGTTTGAACCCTTCAACCTGTGACACCTTGGATAAGGAATGCAGCCTCTCTGAGCCTCGGAGGAGGAGACAGGTGCACGGACATGCGCCTCAGGGCGCCTGGCACCCTGGGTGAAGGAGAGCCGTCTCCACACATCAGGTCAGGT